AGAAAAAATGAAATACTCCCAATAAAATAATAATGATAAAACTGACATGATAGAGATACAGGAAGGGAATAGAAGTATTATTGAAAGCCTCTGCAAAAAGTGGACCCTTTGTACTGAAAGATAAAGGTTGTAGTTGATCCAGTTGGAGGTTATTAAAAACAACTACGGTGTGTTTGCTAACAAATAAATAAATAAAATAAATCATTTAATTAAAAAACTAAATTATGAAAATATATTTTATTTGACAGAAATACGAATAAATTATGAAAAACTAAAAAACGTACAAATTTTTGTTTCTTTTTCTATCTAATTTTCTTTTATCAAACAATTCGTATTCTTCTATTTCTACTTCTTTTTATTTTTGCACCTTCTAGCATAAAGGTGTCTGCGACGAGTGTCCCACATGAAAGTGGTACGGAGTACAGTAGAACTAAGATTTGGCTCCAAAGTCCTAGACTAGTATGGATGATACCAAAAAGAAAAAAAAATGTAAAAGAATAAAAAGTAAAAATAGTTTTATTTATTATTAACAATTTAATTAATTGGTATTATTTAGTATTTATGATATAAATTGATTAGACACAGCAGTAACATTTGAAAACGTGAGTGTTTAGTATGAAATGTGAGGGTGGTAGCTATGGCATTAATCAACCTTCTCTTCCAACTCATTCCATTTAAAATCCCCTGCAGAAGGACCCCAAGAAAGGACCACGTCCTTCCTTCACCCTTCATAATTTCCATTAATTTCTCTGCTTCCTATCTTCTATCCTTTTCTCTCACAAGCCAAACATCATAGACCGACATGTCTAACTACAAACTTTAAGTAGTAATGTTTCTTTCACATCTTCTTATTATTTTTAATTATGTTTTCGTAGATATAACAGTATCACATCAAGTAATTGAGATTATAGATAATTTAAAAATTAAATATATTTTTAGTCTTTAAATTTAGTTGTAAAATTGAAATTTATTATTGTTCTAACTTTTGACACAGTTTGATTATCAACTTTGAAAATAAAGATATGTAGTTCTTTTAAACCAATAGTGTATGAAATTCTTTTCATATATTTGAGTTATTTATTTCAATTAACATATTTCAATTTGATTATAGTTTAAAACATCATTTAGTATATAAAAAAATTAATATCATTAAACTAAAATGATTATATTTATTTATTTTTAATTTCAATTTTGTCTGTAAGTTTAGAAAATTTAGAAATTAAAAACACATTTGTGATTGAAATATTATCTAAAATACTTGAAGTCCAAACAAATTATATTATTTTATTAATCAACTTAAAATTGAAACAGTTTTAATCAAGAACATATAATTATTTTGAGTGAATAACAAAAATGGGAAGGTAAAGGAAATAATAGTTAGTGGTGGAAATGAAAGACTCGTGGGACAGAGATACATCACAGAAGGAAAAGAAATTGATTTGGGTGGAGTGGGGACAAACATGACTTTTCAACGTCACTAGATTCCTTTGGGGTGCATCCAACTTATCAGATTTAAATGCATCTCCTTTCTCAACCCATCCCTTCAAGAACATTTTGCACGATTTTTAATTACTATATATACTTTTTACTATAAGTAAACATAATAAAATAAAAAATCTTATAAAAATTTATAACAATTAACAAAACATTATTTTATTTTTTAATCCATAAAAAACTAAAGAGAAAAAAATGTATTTTATAAGTAAATTGTTTCCAAGGTGGTTTTGTAAGGTCCAAAAAACAATTCTGAGTTGTAGAAGGAGCTTGACCGACATTTTGCTAACAAAACGAGACAAAAAGCAATTACTTACTGCACCCCATCATTTTCAGAATTTATTTTCTATAACTAAATAAACAATTCTGGAATTTTTTTTTCCAGAACTCAAACGTCTCTTTCTTTTACGGGGTGGGAGAAGAAATTTGATGAGGTTGAGAAAGTAATTGCCCACAAAAAATGGACTGCAGGGACCTCCAAGTTTTCTAACTACATCCTTAAATTATTGAAAATATCCTCATTTAATGAGGTGGATAAACAGTTACAAGTACAAAAAAATTTCAACAATTTCAAAATTTAATTTTGAAATTTAATGAAAATCTAGTTGAATTTTGAAATTCGATGAACATCTAGTTGAATTTTGAAATTCGATGAAGATCCAATCAGATTTTAAAAACCGATGTGTTTATTGAATTTCAAGATTTGACGAAGAAAGAATCAAATTTTAAAATTTAATTTTTTCAAAATCGACTTTCAAAATAAAAAGTTTCACTGTGAACCAATTTTGACATTTTGAAGAAAATTGGAGGTGCAAGAAGAAAGCTTTGAAGGTGCGGGGAGAAACTCATTGAACCACAAACCTGACCCAAATGTTTTCACAGAAATGTTTTCTGATGTCCAAAATGCTTAAGTTTTTGTTAAACCCATCGATGTGTAGGAAGAAGGCATGGGGGTGCAAAAAGTAATTGTCACTCGTTCCTTGTAGCCGTTCAACCAGTTGAAAGAATCTATAATGGTGTAGACACGTAGGCATTATTGACCAAGTTATGATTTGTACAGTTTGATGAAAATATTTTTGTATTATTTGGAAGCTTGTATTGTAGTCACATGGCATAACACATAGATAATCTCAGACAGATGAATCCGAAGAGAACCTTTCATGGAAAGCAATTGGATACTGTGGACCTGATCCAAAATTCAAAGCTCAGTTGAAGAACCACTTTTTAGATGGAAAATCTAAGGAAGCAGAAGATGATAAGGAAGATGAAGATGCAGAAGAGGTGATAGGACCCCTCTACAAAGGTCTTGTCCATCTGAATAACCCACGAGACATCGCTGCAGATGCTCTGAGACAGTTAGGATTCTCTGTCTCTGTCGTTCGTAGAAAGCACAAAGCTGCAGCAAACTTGTCTTCTCCTTCTTTGGTGATTCAATGTGATGCTGTGGTGGTTGGTTCTGGCTCAGGGGGTGGAGTCATAGCTGGTGTTCTGGCAAAAGCTGGTTACAAAGTGTTGGTGTTGGAAAAAGGAGGGTATTCTGCAAGGAACAATCTTTCCCTTCTTGAAGGACAAACCATGGATCAAATGTACCTCAATGGTGGATTGGTTGCAAGTGATGACATGGGTATGTTCATACTTTCAGGATCCACTGTTGGTGGAGGGTCGGCGGTAAACTGGTCTGCTTCCATTAAAACCCCACAGCATGTGTGCAAGGAATGGTGTGAGAAACATGGGCTTGAGCTGTTTGAGAGTGAATTGTATAGAGAAGCCTTGGATGCTGTCTGTGAGAAGATGGGAGTTCAATCTGAGATTGAAGATGAAGGATTCAACAATGCTGTTCTGAGAAAAGGGTGTCAAGAGATGGGATATCCTGTGAATACAATTCCTAGGAATTCTTCATCGGATCATTACTGTGGCTGGTGCTGCATGGGTTGTAAGGATGGGAAGAAGAAGGGCACCTTAGAAACATGGTTGGTGGACTTGGTGAAATCTGGAAATGGAGCAATTCTTCCAGGTTGTGAGGCACTAAAAGTCTTGCACAAGAAAATGGAAGGGAGGGATAGAAAGGTTGCAGGTGGAGTGGCCTTTGAATTTGAATATAAAGGGATTAAGGACATTTGTGTGGTGGAGTCCAAGGTGACCATTGTAGCATGTGGAGCTCTATGTACTCCAGCATTGCTTAAAAGAAGTGGCTTAAGGAATCAGAACATTGGGAGGAACTTACATCTTCATCCAGTGGCAATGGCTTGGGGCTACTTTCCAGATGAACCTGCTTCTGAGGTGTGGCCGGAGGCAAATAAGAAGAGCTATGAAGGAGGGATAATGACAGCAATGTCCTCTGTTGTTGCAGAGTTTGAACAATCTGGATATGGTGCAGTGATCCAAACACCTTCGTTGCATCCTGGCATGTTCTCAATTGTCACACCGTGGACTTCTGGAGTCGATATAAGAGATCGAATGCGAAAATTTTCTAGAACAGCTCATGTATTTGCACTGGCAAGGGATAAAGGATCAGGTACTGTGGAATCACCACATCGTATCAGTTATAAATTGGCAGGTGTAGATGAAAAGAACTTGCAGAAAGGAATTGATAAGGTGCTGAGAATTCTGGCGGCTGCTGGAGCTGAAGAAATTGGAACACATCATAATAAGGGAAGGACCTTAAATGTAAAGCAAGTGAGCTATCATGAGTTTGAGAAGTTCGTTAAGGAAGAAAGTTCAAGGCCACTTGCAGACCTTTCAACACCATTGTGTTCAGCACATCAAATGGGGAGTTGCAGGATGGGTTCTAATCCAAAGCAATCAGTGGTGAATCAGACAGGAGAAACATGGGAAATGGAAGGCCTTTATGTGGCTGATACAAGTGTCTTTCCCACAGCTTTGGGAGTGAATCCAATGGTCACTGTTCAAGCTATTGCTTACTGCGTAGCACAATCTGTCCTAGAAGTTCTCAGAAGGAAAAGAAGTAAATGAGGGGAAAAAAACGTGTGCTGTTTCTGTAGCTCCAATGTTACTGAATTCTCAGAAAAAACCTTGTTCAAATAATTTGGTGAGAAATGCCATGGTTGAAATTCTAAAAACTTCATGGTAAATTTTAAATTTTGTGTATACATTTTATTATAATCTTAACTGTTGATTTTAAATCAACAGTAATTACTGTATTTTACCCTGAAAAGTGTTCCCTCACTTTAGAGGAATCACATCCTTTTACAAGTGCAGTTCTATAAATCAGTAACAATTCTCCAGTTCCTGAAGATCTTCATGTTCTCACATAACTAAATATATTTTGACTGCTGCATATCAGATAGAAGTGTAACATACACAAAAGGGGTATCAGGAATTTTCTACGACACTAATAACAAACAACTCGTTCCATCATTCATTTATAGCAAAGCTTATTGCTTTTACGAAAGACACAAACAGAGAAAGCAAATCCCTACCAAGAGGCCAACTTTAATCTGCATGATATTTACGAACTCTCCAAGCAATATACTATATATGAGAAAGTGACAATATACCATTGTCACAGAAATTGGTTATGAGGGACTACTCTTAATTTACAGACACTGGCAGGAAGCTAGGAGCTGTCATCCTCAAGATATATATAATCACTTTTCCAAAAAAAAATTATCTTATATATAGTCCACAAGATCCAAGAAAGATCCTTCAGATCAATGTTTTCTTTTCATGTATATCCAGACAGACCTAAAAGCAACCCAGAATTATTGCAGCACAAAACCAACAACAGCCAGAAAAAGTAAAGGCATGGTAGTGAGGGTCATATTCTCATAGAAATTGACTACACCAGAAATCCTTAATAGCATCTCTTTCACAAAATAGCATAACTACTGCTCCTTTGTGGAAATGAGGGAAGAGAATTGAATCAAAAGAAAGCAATTATCATCTCAACATTTAACATATAATGCACAATATTTTCCTCCCTGCTAATTCTCTAGTTAGTACTAATGTTTATTTAGTTTTACAAGAAGTCTGATTCTCAATTAACTGTCATGACAATCTGACATTATTCCTTGGGTGACATTGTGCCAGCCACCTTACTGAAAAGATGGAAATGGCATCATGTAAGCATGTTCCATCTAACAAGGCAAAGTTCTCAAGCAAATGTTCATGTGAAGTGATATCAGCAGCTAACTAGATAAGACATTCTTCTCATGTTGTTACAGCTAAAACCCTAAAACCTCAATAATCTACTTATATCAAAATGCAGATTTATAATCTTGAGTCAGCACTTTTGAAAAAATAAATAAACTAAAAAAAGTCGTTATTTACCAACCAGTAGCAAATTTCAATGTGGAACCGCTTCTTTTTTACCTTCAAAATCACAATAAACAAACATTCAAGGTAAGCAATCCTACTCAGAAAAGGTATCCCTATCTGTTTTTGGTGAGTGATGGGATTGGAGATTGGTGAGAGGCCACTATCATTGAAATTTGATGTGGTTCTCACAAATTAGAATGAAAGTAGTACCGTGCCATTTGCTTACTTGACACCCCTGCAATCGTCATGAAACAAAAGAACATTTTGAGTTCGTTTTCTTTCTTTCTGGGAAGGTGCAGGAGGAAGAAAAGCACAGCGTGACCCAGATGAACATTGAAGGGAAAAAAGGCATAAACTAATATTCTCCCAGCACCCATTTGCAATGTTTATATAATATTTTAAACGCAAGTCCCAAAAGCGAAGAAAGCTACAATTTTTAACTCTGGGAATCCACAGGCAATTTGAATTGGGAATAGGGTTCAACAATTAAACAAATCCAAGTCAAGTTTAAACGGAGCTCACGATGTGAAGAATAATATTAATCATAGTTGATCGATGATTATTCTTCTCTCCCAAACCCACATGTCTTCGTAGGAATCGAATCCAGCTTTTTAATAGAGTGAATCTTTGAGGAAACGTCAAAGAAAGAGCCTTGAGTGAATCAATGGAAATTACAATTACCATAGGTAAATGCTTCGGCACCTTAATTTTAATTAATTTTTCAATTCATGTCAATGTGGCCCCACACAACAGCTCAAAGAGATAAGAAACTTCTTTCTGTCATTTGGGTTTAAACGAGGGAATGGGAATATAGCCTTTTCTTTTCTCGTGAAAAGTGGCATAAAGAGAAACCTCACCGCATGAACCGATTGAAGAGAAGAGAAGCTTACCTATGAAAGTGGCAAGTAATTATATAGTACATAATTTGGAGGGCAATTATCTGTGTATACTTGTTAATACAGATAAATTACAGAAAAATTAGGAAACTTCCTTGCTAGTCCTTATCATCATTGAGAAAAATGGACCGTTTTGAACAGATAATTGTTGTTTATATGCTATATTAAAATTTGGTGCAATTTATGTCTCTAAATTGGGCTTATTCTTGGTGTCTATCTCCAACTTGGTAAAAAGCTATTTCAACAAGCGGTTGACTAACTAGAAAACAAATGGAAAAGGTTTAGCTGGTTTTTCCCAATTCAGGATATATGCAGTTAGGAATGGTATCTCCTTCAAAACAATGATAGACACTTTGGGAAGGAAGTCTCAACTACTACTACAAAGGAAGAGACTCAAAGAAGAGGAGGATGATGACCAACACATTCAAGGCACCAAGTCATCTTTCTATTTGAGTAGCTTCCAAGAGTTATTCCTTATTCTCTCTTATCTGCTGTCTTCACAGAATCAACCAACCCACCATGGTGGAAAGTCCTCCTAAATTCAAATTCACATTCATCTTCTTCATCATCTTCTCCCTCTCTCTTGGCTTAGTTTCCTTCTCCTTGTGCATAGCCTCTGAGATTAAGAGGAACAAGGTGAGTAATGTGTTCTTGTTCTATTCTTGAATTGATTGAGACCTTGCCCTTAGGAGTTTTTGCTTCTTATTTCTGAAACTGGTTCTGAATTCTGATGCTTTGTTTTGTAGAAGGAGGATCTCAGATGGAATGGGAGACTGTGTCATTTACCGTCAAGTCCAGCATTTGGATTGGGAATTGCATCATTGGTTTGTTTGGCTTTGGTGCAGAGCATTGGGAATTCTATATTGTTCAAGAATTGCTGTTCAGGAGGGAAAAGAAACGCACGGTTTAAGATACCTATCGTTGCAAGGATTCTGCTTTCGATCTCTTGGTAAGTTAATAATCTTTTTCATATCTGTTCTTAGTTGTTAGCACATCACATTCAACAATCATAGTTTAAGGAAATAACACAGTTCGATTTGCTTGATTATTGGCTTGTGCATTGTCATTATTTACCTGTTAGAATGGACGTATTTGCTCTAGAAATAAAGTTTGATTCTTGTAACCACATTATTGAAAGTGGACGCATCACCATCCAATCTAGTTGTCAAACCGAATTTCCTTTCTTCAGGTTTGTATTGATTTTAACAGTAAAATATAGAGTACATCATTTTCAGAAACTGTGTGCCATGTGGTTTTCCATGATTGGCCACAGGTTGGCAAATTCAATCATTTTCAGTGTGAAGACTGCAAAGCTAGAAAGGTAGTGGAGGGTTGGAGATGTGGAATTAACAGAATGTCGTTCTGTTCTTCAAAACTTATAAACATAGAATGATGTAGATATGTAGATCAGTTAGAATTCTGTAGAGATGGTAACTCTTAATATTAGGAATTGAAAAAATAATAATAAATATTAGAGAATTGAAATTATAGTTTTTCCTTTAAAACATCCCAAATATAAGTTTAACATTGGTATGGATTATGCTTGCAGGGTTGGGTTTGGAATTGCAGTTATTTTATTAATTGCTGCGACAAGCATGAGCAAAAGGCAAGCATATGGGGAAGGGTGGTTGAAAGGTGAATGCTACCTTGTCAAAAAAGGGACATACGCTGGTTTAGCCATATTGATTTTTGTTACGGTAGGATCATTAATTGGTTCAGGTTTGTTAACAATGAAGAGCAATAAGGCAGATCAGGGTCACAAAATACACGCACAAACGGGTGAAACTAGGGATTAAAGAATTTGTACATGGAAAGCATATAGTAAAATGCAGAGTCAGTTTTGGTGCAAACCAAGGAGCTATAAATTGGATTGAGGATCATCAACTACTGTAGAAAGAAGCCTTAAATGTTGCATAGAGAAAGATCGAAGACCGATGACAGAAAGAAAGGTGCTGAAGACAACAAAAGATGTTTGAATTGTTTGTCAAATTTGCCGAGAATAACTACATTTTTTTCGACTTACATGATACGAAAGAGACATTTGTTTTGTATACATTCTCCCCGAGGTAGAAACTGCCTCATACAGGAACTCATTTTGGATCCCACCCGCATACTTCATAATTTTTTTTTGTACAGATACTTTTCATCTGCTTCCTCCTTGTTGGCATCGTTTTATTTAATTTTAAAATATTTCTAAGAGTTGTAGGCATCGTGTTCTACAATTTTTAAACAAAGTCTCCGAGTCGCAGGCCACCCAACGATGATAATTTTCCCCCGAAAAATATATCTGATTCTCGAAAAAAGGGAGGCCAGGCCCAAGGTAGCAATTTTAAATTCATATAGTGAGATCACAAATTCACAATTGCAGCCCAATAATAATTGTTAGGGCTTTTATATGAATTTGAAAGTTGACGAATACTCAACTTGAGAGAAACATGAGTTCACAATCACATTCTCAATTCTATAGTTCGGATTACAAAACAAGGGATTTCTTGGTCTATATTTTTATTTCAGAATTACGTTACAAAAATTATATTTCGAAAAGAGACTCTGAAAACAATATATAAGGGTAGATAGAAGAAATATTCAATTAGAACAAGTTTAATAGTTAAAGTTAATCGAACTAAATTAACAATCTTCCACAGACGGAATTGATCACAGCTATAACAATTGCCAGCTTGAAAAAGTAAAAATTCTGGTAAAAGGTCTACGGAATAAAGTTTAGCACTCTCCTGTCCACTTAGTACGAGATCCGAATGTTTAGTGATACAAATTAATTTCTAAATTAAAATAAAATACAGATTCCTAAAATTTATAATTTAGTTTCACATTAATCCTAAAATAAATCGTTTATTAACATTAGACTGTCGGTCATTCATCATGAGGCCGAAGCAGTCCTTACAAAAAGTTCAAACTGTTCGATTTTTCAGAACACATCTAGACAAGTAACACGTTGATAATTTTGAATCAAAGTTTAATAGAGAAAATCTAGCCGCCCCTGTCGCAAACGCCAGCTTGACATGTCAAAACAAAGAAGCCTGCCCATCAGTGCTTACAAGACTAGATTATACAAAATATCATCATCAATATACAATGGCAGTGTTTATTTTAACAACTCATTTCCACACATCTCACGTTTTCTCAATCACACCTCCATTGGTCCCCTCACCTCTCCATTTTCATCATCAACACCCAACATTATCACGTCATCCAGAAACGTAACAATAATGCTACAAAATAACATTTACCCTAAATATGATCATCCATGATATAATAATGGCATCTAAAAGAATTCCTAAAGATATTAACGAAGTGGCAAAATAGAAAGATGGTCCAGCCACTACACGCTAGAAAACAAATAAACTCCACAAAACGTCTTCTTTTGATTCCCATATTATAACAAAAGCAACATCACCATGGGATTTAATATATAATATCGTAATGTAAAAAAGAAATTATCAGCATTTGAAAAGTTATCATTAGCATAAATCTTATCATCCATCCATAAAGGTCACTAGGAAGACTCGCTAACAAAAGATGTTAATTTTTTAATGGGGGGCGAGGGAGAGCAAAATGATTCACTGTAAGAGTAAGAGTTCCTCTGGCTACTGATTGGTATATAGAATTATGGACAGCAATTACTTGAAACGTTAAATGCCAGCTCATGATCTAAAAAAACATGAAAATGGCGGTCATATCTAAGTTTGACATTCCAGTCTCCACCAGTGAAAGTTCCATAAGCATGTTAACATCATTGACGTAAAGACAAAGATCACACACAGCAAACATAGGCAAAATTGGCGGGGAGCTCTGGAAAACACGAGAAACAGAAAGTCCCGATACCACTAGAGAGGAAAGTTTGGACCACGCCCTCTCCCACCATAGCCATAACCCCTTCCTCCCCAATTATATGAGCCCCTGAAATTCTCACCCCGTCCAGCACCATAACTAAAATTATGCCTCTGCTGGAAATTGCCAAATGTCTGAAAAGGAAATGGATAAACAATAAATCAAAATTACATTGTAGATCATGGATAATTTCACATCCAGAAATTTCAATTCTTAATGTGTTTGCTGACCTCTGTATCCTGTTTCATTCTCTCGGAGAAACGATTTTGTCCGTTCCTTGATCCACGGGTCAAAGAGTTACAGGAAATTGTGTCAAAAAAGTCATCTTTCTTGTATGCTGACTGCAAGAAAAGACAAAGAATAGAAGACTTACAAGCTCAAACAAAATTTGTTTACTCCATCCATTTCAAAACGGAAAGAAATTATTATCAAAGGAAAACATTCTGAGTCCTACCTTATGGTTTGGTACCATCCCATGATATTCCCTGTTACCCGGATTGAGATTATCCTGTACTCCCTCTATTTTTGTGGTTGCCTTTCCAAGAGAGCCCCATACTTCATCTTTTCTGAACTTTTCATTCATGGCCTCAAAATCAAACTCTTCAGTGAATTGTGGAGCTATGTATTGAGGCTGGAAAAATCAACAACACACGATTTACATGTATACAAATATATATATATATATATATATATATATATAGCTATACTAAAAAGAGAGCTAGTGCATGACCATGTAGTGGATCTGGAGAGGGTAGATATATGCAGATTTACCCTCAGTAACCTACAGTTCTAAAGGCAGCAATCTTATGGTTGCGTTAAGTCTCGATATTAACTTATTATAATATTTAAATATATTAGTTATCTGCCATAGTTTCCTAGCAAGTGATCTGGTAGTTACGTGCTTCTTGTAGAGGAAACTGCTTCTGGTCACAAGATAAGAGGCCATGTACATCTGACCCTCAATGTCCACAATGGTGGGCACGTCATTCACAAAGCCACACTTTATAAGTTAATCAAGTAGTGAAATTTAACCAAATCGGTTACTTAACATCAACTTTCTTTTTGCAAAGTAAAAAAAATCAGCGTAGGTTAAAAATCCCAATAGACTAAGATGCATGCAACCCACAAAAACTAGACTTAAATACCCATTTTTGTGCATAATTTGAAAAGAAAAATGCAGCTTCCAGATGCACTAAGAAAACAAGAAATATTATCTCTACATTCAAGGAAACGGTCTACACAAATCAATTGGACTATGCTTAAATTTCAACAATTCGCTTGAGAACAGCGTCATTGGTAACTTCAAGCAACTCCGTGGTCACTTACAAACCGAGAAGCGACTGAACAAACAATAGAATATAGTAAAATTTTACAGGCACAACCAATAGACAAAGCTATGTTAGTCTGTTAATTTGGTATGTGAGCAGGACATGAAATTTTAATAATCTCGTCATCAAATACCCAATTTTCCTATCCTTCAAATGCAGAATTGCAGGTTCAGGGTAAGAATGTCCTTATCTACTACAGTCTCTATCCACAACCTATAAGATCTTCGTTGAAGATCTCACATCACATAGAAGTATGATCAAATTATAGTATATAAATAGATGCTAATTTCATCTTCCAGGTCAATTTTACAAAATTAAGTTTGTTACGATCTAAGGTAGGGCTAATAATAAGGGTTAGAAAGTATATAAGCAGAGAGAATATTTAGTATAAGTTAATTAGAGTAAATAAATATAGTATAAGTTAATTAGAGTAAATAAATATAGTATAAGATAATTAGAGTAAATAAATATATATTTAGGAAAATATTCAATATAAGATATTTATAATTAAGGATATATGCTAGGATAATATACGGAGAGATATTTATATTAAATATAGAGATATTTATATTAAATATAGGGATATTTATATTAAATATAAGGATATTTATATTAAATGCAGATAGAGGAATATTTAATAAGAGATGGGCTGGAAATAATTAATATAAATAAAGTTAGAGTCTAGGGTTAAAGGGATGCTTTTGATGATTGAATTTTGTGACAGACATTATTGTCTTGTGAGGGAGGTTATGCTCTCAAAGTAATTGAAGGAGGTTATGCTCCCAATTATTGTTTACCCTTGTTTATTCAGATATTACCATCAATAAAAGAGATTCATTCATCCATTGTTATTCGTTTATTGTTCTATTACGTGTGTTTATTGTTCTATTACGTGTGAGAGAGTGTGCAAGGTTGTATTTGGCTAGTTTACGTACTCAGGTACGTAACAATTGGTCCGACCTGCCGGATCATCATGGAGGGAAGAGTGAATGTCATTGAAGGAAGATTGGAGGTCATAGAAATCTCCATGGGAGGACTGGAGGCAGCAGTCCAGGAACTGGTGAAGGTGATGGGAGAGCGAGGTCGACGACATGAGGGAAATCCTGATGGAAGTCAGGGGTCTGTCAACGGGAGAAGGAATGAGGAGGACGAGAGAGATGGCAGCAGGCTAGATGGTGGACACCGAGAGGAGCAACTGTATTGGAGGAGAAGGGTAGACTTACCCATCTTCGAAGGAAGCGATCCTTTGAATTGGATCAATAGAGCGGACAAATTCTTTGAGCTACAAGGAGTGTCGGAGGAAGAAAAGTTGCGCCTAGCCTATATCAGCATGGAGGGAATCGCGGGACACTGGTTCAGATTCTGGAGGGAGAAGGCCAGGAACCGTTCGTGGGCAGGATTAAAGGAGTCAATGGTGATCCGTTTTGGAGGAAGAAACCGGGGAACCGTCTTCGAGAGACTGGCGGCCTGTAAACAATCAGGAACCGTGGAAGAATACATCCAAGAATTTGAAGTCTTGGTCGGCCAAACGGAAACAATGCCCGACGCACAGCTGATGGGGTACTTTATGGCAGGATTGCAGGAGGGGATCCGTAATCAACTCAGATTACTTGATCCGCGGGAGTTGATGGACGTTATGAGACTGGCAAAGGATGTGGAAGAGTTCCAAGGGGGCGTGAAGGCTGGGAGCGGAAGTGTGATCGAGAATCAATCTGGAGAAAAACCGAACGGGGTGGATACGCGACTGGAGCTCAGTCGCCCGAACCAAGGCCGAACGGTAACTGTCGTGGAGAGCCGGGCGGACATCACGGAGAATGTGGGGACCGGACGAAAGGAAAGAAACGTGAGGGATCTACCTTATGAGGAATATGAAAAACGTAGGAAAGAAGGAAGGTGCTTTAGATGCGGCGAGCGGTTCGGTCCTGCGC